TATCCAAACCCCATTAAAGTACATTTCAGAAGTTTTCTATTTTTTAAGGTGACCTTTAAAAATCTTTTTTTTTTTTTTTTGGCAATTTCAGGAATTTAAGCCGTTAGTAGAAAGTGGTATTTTTGTACTGAATTATGCTTCTTAATTTTTTTTTCTTTYCCAACCCAAGTAATTAAAAAAATTTTAACTTTTTTATACATTGGTGATATTTTCCTCATAAGCTATCTCTATTCCTCTTTTGAAATGAACTATGGAATTAGATCCTTTGTGTATATGATGACAGTTTGTATCCTTTGTCTTCAATGATTCAATTAACAGCATAACTATATTACATACAATTATTCCATGATTAAAAAATCCTAGCTGGGCATGGTGGCACATGCCTACAATCCCAGCAGTTTGGGAGGCTGAAGCAGGAAGATGGAATGTTCAAAGCTAGCTTCAGCAACTTAGTGAGGCCCTAAGCAACTTAGTAAGTCCCTGTCTCATAATAAAACAAAGAAGCACACACAAAAAAGGGACTGAGGGGATGTTGCTCAGTGGTTAAGTATGCCTGGATTCAATTGCTGGTAACTAAAAAGAAAAAAAAAAGTCCTTTTTATTTTATTCAACTAAGAAAAAATTTCCCACTTAGAGATTTTCCTTATGATATAAATATAAAGCTGAGCTTCAGTTTTTTCCTTAGCCCTATTGTTTATATCAATTTTCACTGTAAATTCCTTAGGGACACGTGTGGGAATCACAATAAAGCTGTGTTTCCTTCACTCATAGATTAGTCCTTTCTTTTGTGTCAACATAAAATAACTTATAAATGCATTTATAAATAAAATGTATTYATTAGTAAAATTGTGATATCAGTGAAAATATGTTATTTTGAAAAGATAGCCTTATATTCTAACTCATAAAGTTAAAAAACAAATAAACAAAAAACCCAGAAAGGATCATGCAGTAGAATCTGAATTTCAGTAAACTAATCCATCCTAATCTTAAAAAGGGAAGTTAGTGATCCAGTAATAACTAATATGTCTTCTCTAAGGTTTTTCTCAGTTTCACTTATCACAAGCAATGATTGTACACACACACATAAAAACAAGGTTCAAATTTAAAATATTTAGTGATAAAAAGACTTCATCAATTTATAGGTATTTCTTGAAATGTTTTTTCAGACTTCAAAATAATCATTTTTTGTTCCAGTGTGCTAAAAACAAAACAATGAGTTCTTCCTTTCTATATTTGTATAGTATTTTAATTGTTTGGTTTAAATATTCTGTACTTATGCATTCAAGTATTTTRTTGATGTATCTTTTTTAGTTTAATTCTGACTACTTTAGTTTTTTGTATTTTGAAGTAATGTGGTTAAATACACATATTTGTAGAATTATTATAGCTTTTGATTTATTTCTTCTCCAGCATGTTACCCAAATATTTGTCTCATTTTTTTCCTATAATTTATTTTTTTCTGATATTAAAATTCTTATCTGAATTTCTTTTAAATGCATTTATCATATATGCATTTTTATTCATGCTTTTCAAAATTTTTGCATGTTAGTTTAAAAAATTGTTTATTTGACAACATATTGTTTGCTCTTCATATTTATTAACRTGAATTTTAAGAATCTGGTTTTTTTCTAGATGAATTTTAACACTTTTATACTTATTGTAGTTTTTGTAATGTTGAGGGATACTTTTGTTTTTGTAATGTTTATAAATGTTATAAATGTTATGTTTTTATTTGTTTTGTTTTTCTTCTTTCCCACATTCCTTTTGATAAATTAATATATTTAGTTCTGGCTCAAAAATTTTCATGGTATTCTTAACTTATACTTGTTTTTGTTTTTTCATCAATTTCTAATGCAATACTTTTTTCTCCTGTTAACTCTACCCAATATATATATGGGGAATATACTATATATTCAATAAATATATTTTAATTGAGGCTTAAATGAAGGAACATTACCTAGGCCACTTAGAACAGTCCTGACCATTAACATACATTTATTGACTTTAAGGAAGTTGGATGATTGTAGGCCATTCAGGCCTTTGCCTTTATATTGTATTTCTTTTTTCCTTATTTTTCATGCATTCATATGTTTTTTTTTTCTTTTCTTTTGCAGTCATACTTCACTGAAAAGTGGGCACTGAGTTTCTTACAAATCTTGTTTTCCAGTAGTTTGAGCTCATTTACCTACTTTCTGCTATGTAAAACTTGTTTAAAATCTTTTAACTTGTTGTTTTAAGTCTCTGTTAAAAAAGAAAAAGACCTCTGTAATCACCCTAAAGGATTAAAAAAAAAAAACCTTGAAAAATTTGACTTCAGTGGCTTCTACTTTGACGTACAGCATTTTCTTGGCATCTACTAAAGGAGTTTAAAAGTGATGTCTCTGTTGTGAGCTAAATTAATTTCTACTAAGAGGGCAGGAAGTGTTTAATGACTGAAATATTAAAGAGCCACTTGAGAATATCCACTCATTTTTGATCAAGAATCAAGAAACAAGAAATAAGTAGGAAGGAGGCTCAATTTTCTCATATTGAGCTTTATATTGCTTGGAAGTGTTCGAAGAAAGGTAGATGTAGGAAAGATCTTCTTATGTCAGCACTGTGTCCTGCAGAATAACCCCAATAAGCTTTCCTTATTTTAAAAAAGAAGCACAGTGACCTACCTAGCCCTCAGGCATTGTACTCTTTTCATCTTTCTTTAATAATTAACATTCATAGAATAACAGATTTTAATCACTGCTCACTTCTCATAACCCACTTTTTTTAAAACCATTTAGAATCTGACTTTGACCCTCATTATTCTTATCACATTTGTCTTTCTCAACAGGAACACTGGTTCTTTTTGCAGCATTTGATACTCTTAACAATAAGTTTTTGCAGCATTTGATACTCTTAATTGATCTCCACATTTTTTTCCTCTCTTAAGATTGAGTAATATTGTGTTTAATTTATCATCTATGACATCTTCTGGAATTTCTTCCAAACATCCTTTTTCTTTTAAGGGTCTAGTCATTTCTGTTTTTACTTTCCACACTACATTTCCTTCTTCATAAATTTTATCTGATTCTTTGAAACACTATTTATATGGCTTTTAATAGTTTCTATTCAGTTCTAACTCCTCCTGCTTTTGGTAGACCTAAACTTCCCAAACTTTGAATACATTAAGATTAAATTTGTTAATATTTTCATGAACATTTACTTTTCATCCTATATTCCTGTTCTTTGTTAATGTTTCTAATTTGATCCCACTTGTTTAACCTCTTTAGTTTTGACTTAGGCACCAGCATCTTTACATGTGCTTTGTATCAACCTCTATTAATTGGTTTTAACTTCCCATATCATTCCCTTCTGTCTCTCCTTTTATTATTTTTTGCTGGAATAATATAAAAACTTTCTAAATAATCTTCTTGTTTTTGGCAAAATAGTCTTTAAGAGGTATAGCATTAACCAATTAATTTTGTTGCTCCTTAACTCTTGAATAGTTCCTCACTGCCTATTGACTAGCACCCAACATCCTTGGTTTAGTATCAGGGAGCCAGTACATGTTTTGTTTTGTGTTCTTCTTCTATACCCTACAGTTGCAAYCAAGCTACACAAACAGCCATCCCTCATATTGCCATTCCCTATGGTTCAGTTCAAAGTCTGCACTATTAGGAATTGTTCATTGCTCTTCTTCTTTATATTACCGAGTAGCTCTCCCAATTTTAGATAATTTTATTTAACTCATTTAGTATTTTATCCATCAATGCTTAGTATTTAAGAGGTGCTTACACAAATAAGCTATTTAAATTTCAAAGTAGTAGTTATTATTAAAGAAATAGGTATTTCTGCTTCCTAAACAAACAAACAAACAAACAAAAAACCTAAACAAACAAAAAACATTGGGGTGAGAGAAGTTGAGGTCATGTTCACCCCACAAGGTGGTGACGCCATCTAGTGACAACTCCACCACACTACAAGACTTGCCTCAGATCTGAAGTCTATATTAATCTTCACATTGTCCTCAAGAAAGATGTCATATTCGAGTAGGAAGGATAGTAGAATGAATCAGACATTATTACTCTCTGTGCATATATGACTATACTACTGGTGTGATTCTACATCATGTACAATCAGAAGAAGTAGAAGTTATACTCCATTTGTGTATGATGTGTCAAAGCACATTCTACTGTCATGAATAACTAATTAGAACAACAACCAAAAAATGATGTCATAACAGACCTACCCCCCAATAAGATAGTGCCTTAACAAAAATATTGCATACTTATTTTTGTGTGTGTGGGATTAAACACTGTAAATTAATTAATTCATGGTTGATTATATAGATATGTTTAGAGAAATGGATGCACCTGCAATTTTCACTTGTATTAACATTAATCAGTGATGCATATGAATCCATTTTCAAAGAAGAAATTTAAAGAAGTGCCTGAAAACTTGGGTAAATTTCACATAAAGTGTTAGAAATGTTTTTTTCTTGAGATAACACACTAAATGTATTCAGCATCSTAACAATAGTAAGTACTAGTTGATGGAAGAAGCATAGCTTCTGAGCCAGATGGTTTACTGTTAGCAACACTGTGACTTGAAGCACAATACATATTCACTCAAAATGTCCATTTTCACATTTGAAAACATGGTGATAACAACATCTTTGTTATGAATATAAGGAGTGTATATACAGAATGTTTGGCCTATAGTAGGCATTTAATAAATAAATGGTAGTTTGTATTTAATGATTGTTGTTAGTTTTACTTTTGATGATGTGTATAGAGACACATTTTCTTTTAATGTTGAAAATGTTATTTGTAGAATCTCAATTTGTTTCTTTTGTAGTAAAGAGTGCAAGCATTGATGTTTATCATTAATTTCAATACCTAGTGGAAAATTACATACCTATTTAGTAAATGTGTGATCAGAAAATTATAAAATAATCATTTGTATAAKCCACTAAAAGCTTATATCTGTTTAAAAAAATTCAGAATAAGTGAATATTTCATACTTACAACTCTCCAGTTGCATTATACACGTTTGTACATCCATTGGAAAATTTTTGAGATCCATTGGACAGGAAAGTGTTAATGTTAATCTGAAAGAATTCAGAGTAATTATTTTTAAAGAAAATTTATGACTTTATATTAAGATTCTGTTATTCAGAAAACACATATTGCTTTGGTAGTTACTAACATCTATTCAGATGAAATTTTCTCCAGTTTAGGTATATTATTTGCTATGAAAAAATATGTCACTGTACATAAATCTGGATTTTTGATGGGGTCAAGTGAAGTGGATGATAGTTGTAGCTATAAAACTCTATCACATTTATTCATTTTTAAATTTGTTTAGAAATGAGTGTAGATGTATAGAAGAGGTCTAGACTTCCAGAGAGATCCCCAAAAGGAATAATTTGAGGATGGGCACTGTAAAATTAATACCCAATGCTGAAAGGTACMTTTCCCCCAAAATCACATTAACAGAATATTTAAGAGGGAAATAGGAGAATTGGAGTTGTAAGTGTGGAAAAGGGGTACTCAGAGAAGCAACCCTATATGGTAGTTGTCAGTCATCTTTATAAACACATCATGGAAGTTGTCAGAGAATATCCAAAAGTATTTAGTAGAGTGAATCTGGAGAACTTGAAAATTTAGTTAGTAGATCAGGTTCTCTGCTATGGCACTAGAGCATTTCACTAGATTTTAACAGGGTTAGGAAATAGCACGCTAGTGTCTGTTATATTATTCTAAGTTCACCAAACAAACTTTTGATTGTACTTTACACAAAGGATAACCTAAAATATGTAAGCATTCTGCCAATATAAAAGCTCTTGGCCCTTTTAGAGAGTACTAGTATGTTGGTATTCCAGGTAATTAATGAATTTTGAATACATTTGGTTAGGAAAGTGTATTACTGAAATATATTCTGGGTTTACTAAGAATTTATATTTCCTGGATTTGAGAGAGAGGGTGGGGAGAGTTCAAGATTCAAACTCAGCATTCTACAAATGAAGTTCTTTTCTGAGAACTCTCTAAGAAGTCTCTTTTTTGAAAAATATTCTCACTGAAATTCAGGTATTAGTGAGCACCCTAGGTGGTTTAATTTACTTAAACTTTGTGCTCACAGACATAGTTATTCAACTTCTTCACATTGCAGTTTTTTCGTCTCTAAAATGAAAATAATAATAATGGTACCTACTACAAAGAGTTACTGTGAGCAATACCTGCGAGTTACTGTGAGCAATACCTGCATTGATACTTGAAATGTGCTTAGGTAAGTGCTTGACATATAGAAGATATTTAGTAAAATATCTGTTATTAACAGTTATTAGTATATTCCATTACTCCTAGACACCTCCAGTTGCTCCTCCTGCAAATTCTAAATTGTGGGCACAAAGATAAATAAATTAAATTACATGTAAGTACTTTTTAGGCTTTAAATAAAAATAACTAGTAAATCTACTATATATAACTTMACTCTCTAAAATGGCATTTTTATGGAGATCACAGGCATAAAGTAATAATGATGTATTTTGTATAATGAATATCTTGGTGAGTTAGGCCCAATTAGCATAATTTGGGTGACACAAATGGACAGACATATGGAGTTGGTGAATTTTTAAGAGTCCCAGGAGGATCATTTGGTAATTTGAGTCACAGTTCCTAACACAGTAAAATAATTCACAGAGTTCTATATTCAAAATCAGTGTTTCTCCTGCTGCAGCTTGGTTAAGGGAATTTGTAAGTAACTGARTATTTTTACAAAATTTTTGGTTAAAAGAGAATATTGTAATCTGAAGTGKACACAGTGTTCTCTGCCTAGTGAAAGAGTTTATTAGAGGAATATGCACATGAACATTTTGAAATGTGCACAGATTAATTTCCCAAATATTCAAGGCTCTTGGCCAGCCAATTTCAAACATCAACTTGCAGAATTCTCTGACCTTTTTTATGGAAATAAATGGCCTTCTCAGAACCCTTTCCATTCTCTCATCATGCATGTGATGTCAAATTCATATCCTGGCTATTTTTTTGGCATAAAATGAGAGAYGTTATGTAATTCTAAATAAAAAAATAAAACTTGAAAAGAATTGCTTGGCAAAGCAAAACAGTTTGTAGAACTCCTATCATAAATCATATCCTGAAAAAAAATCTATTTATTGACTTTTCTTTTTGTTTAAGGTATAATACAGTTGCTTCTCTAATGATGAAATGTGTCCACTTGGTGKGTGTAATACTTAATTTCTTTATCAAAACATTACATGTAAATAAAGATATGTTCTGACCACATCAAAAGAAAACTGAGTAAAGAGGCAATTATTCATATTCTACTGTTTTGGAAATGAATGCCTTCTTGTGTAAGGAGGACACCAAGTTCTCTTTCTGAGACAAGACAGATAAACAGGATATAGTGTTTCTTATTTCCCCTTAAAAAGTCTTGGCTGCGAGAAGTAGTAATATTAAGAAAGATGACTGTCATCTGTGACAAACAACTGACGTCATTAAAATTTGATTATTCTCTATTTTTGAAAAAGCATGCCTATAGTATGTTGTCTATCTAAACCACTAGTTGAATTTTAAAAATGTTTTTGATTTCTTTATAAACTTTTAATAAAAATAAATATTTTAATAGTGTTTTAGTTCGCTTTTTTTTTTTTTATGCTGTGACTGAAAGATCTAACCAGAACAATTTTAGGAAGAAAAGTTTATTTGGGGGCCCATGCTTTTAGAGGCCTTAGTCATTGAAGGCCAGCTCCATTCCTAAGGGCTCCAGGTAAGGCAGAACATTATGGCTGAAGAGTGTAGCAGAGGGAAGCGCTTCATATCATGATAAGGAAGCAAAGAGAAAGACTCCACTCTCAAGATAGGAAATATATACCTGCAAAGCCATGATGCCCGACCTTTTCAAGCCATACCCTACTATCAGGGATTAATTCACTGATTAGATTACTGATTAATGTAACTCATTCATTTATCCTCCAAATTTTCTTCCATTGTCTCACTTGTGAACATTTGGGGGGATACCACATCTACACCATAACAAATAGTTTTCTGGTATTTCTGAATTTGGTATCAGAAATACAATGGCCTCTTAACTAGCAATTAAATAACTTTTGAAGAATTATCTGTAGTGTTATAGTAAATTGATAAATTTGTAGGGCTTACTTTGTGATAGACACTGTTCAAATACTTTATATATGATCACTCATTTATTCTATCCTACAAACTTACAAGATAGGTAAATGATATAACTTTTTTTTTTGTAGATGAGGAATCTTAGAGGTTAAGTAACTCACTTCATTACACAGCAGAAATTGGCAAAGTAGAATTTGCAGCTCTGTCGGTTTAGTTCTAGATTCCATGCTCTTAACTGTTAAGTATACTGCCTATCAAAAGCAATGGAATGTTTTACATAAAAATAGATTCTGAAATTAACATGATGTTTTAAATTTTATATACTTTTATAACACAAAATGATATAATGTATACACTATTAGTTATTAAATTTGAAGTAAGGTGTACACAAATAATTTTTCCAACAKACATTTAGACAAATGTAATAGACCATAGAAAATATAAGGCATTTCTCCAGGGATTTTATATATTTGAATGATATAGTATTTGATTATGAATGCTTTTATAAATATCTCTTAGTTATTTTACAAATAATTCTTAGAAGAGATTAGATAGTTGGAACACTAAAAAAGGATATTAGAATTAGTTTCTATGAACASTTCTGGAGTTTTGTTGTCATCTGATCTTAAAGACAAGCATAAATCTTTTCAACCCATYACCAAAGTAATCTCAGCATTGATGATGGTCCCTTCAGGAGGCTGATGTAAGCAAGTTATGGAACTCTTCAGAAAAATAGATAATTACATACATGCCAAATTTTCCTTATATCTACTTTGTTACATTATGAGTTCATTTTCCTTAAATAAACAGCATTTTTAAAAACATCTGTTGAAATAAGTTTGCTTTTCCATTTAAAAATCAGTGTCTATCAGTGTTCAAAAAATAAATATACTTTATACAAGTAGACTTTAATTCTTTGCACAAATTTCAAAGAAATGGTTACCATAATCAAATACTTAGTTTAAATATTGTTAAATAAAGGTCAAAATTATTTTGATAAGTTGCTCTAYATAGCATCTTTGACATAAACTGTCTTCTTATTTCATTTTCAAAGCACTAGTGCTTCTGTAGTATAAGTAATGAAGTTGTAACTGTTGGTTATATTAGTAAAGTTAACAAGCAGTATATATGATGCCTATGGTGTGCTTCCATTTATCTTGTGATAAGCATGCTGCCATCCTCATTTTGTAAGTGATAAAACTGAGGTAGAGACAATTCAGTGCTGATTTTTTGCTCCCCAGAAAAATCAGAATTTATTTTTTGTTTCCTTTTATTTTTTAGAAAGATAAAATTTATTAACTTTAGCATCTATTATGTGTCTGGCACCATGCTAGTGTTTTACCATTTATTCTTTCAGATTCAAAGTAATTAGTATAATCACTGTAATACATATAAGWAAAATATGAAGCTTTCAAAAGTAATTTTGATTTGCCCCAAATCACAGCTAATATCTCATAGAGCCTGCATGTGGACTGGGAGTTAAAGTCTTCCTAAGACTTCTTGTATGCCTATATATTGCTAGGCATGCTAAGACTTCAAGGTCTTAACCATTTCATTTATTTTATTTTTTTATTTTATTTTTTTTACATTTTTACCTGAGAAGTCTCAGGTTTGCTTATTCAGATGCTTAATTCCAGAGATGAGATAACATTGTTCACTTGGACCAAGAGAAGGCTTATTTGCAGCTTGTTCTAAAAGTAGTGGGTTCTCCAAATTCACAACTATGTCCATCATTTTGACATAAACCCATTGTATGTGTTATATCCATTWAAACCTATTGTATTGTTCCAGAGACACTTGAAGACAAAGGAAAATGAGGCAAATATTTTGATATCCATACTCCTAGCTCACAGTGAATAATAAATTCCTTTGTCTCTGACTTGGTAGCCTCGTTTCTTCAGTCAGTATCCATTTAATAGTCATAAGCTGACTTTAAAATCCCAAACTGGACAATCTGGAG